GCTCCTCCGCGCGGGGTGAGTGGTGCTGCTGCGATGGGAAGAGTCCCCGCGATGTCTCTCGCATGAGGTGGTGTCGCGGAGGCTCATCAGGAGCTGCCGGGGGGAGTTGAGCGAAGCTCAGATGGGAAATTGGGGTGGGAGCTGGGGGGAGGCAGAAAGCGCCCGTCTGGGTCTGCTTTGTATCCATCACTGTGGTCCAGCAAAGTCTGGGTGGTGAGGAGGGGTTTGGGGGTGCTGTGTGGTGCAGGGGGTGTGATGGAGTGGGGACCAGAGTCCCCTCGCTCCCAGCACTGACTGAGCACGAGCTCTGAGCAAACTTGGGGCTGCTTCTACCTGCTTCCACCAGTGCCAGGGCCACCACCACTGCCCCGCTCAAGGGGATGCATCTGGCACTGATAAATCTCAGCACCCAGCATCCTGGGCTGGGACTGTCCATGGGAGCTGGGTGCCCATCACAGGACATGTGCACTCGTGAAAGTGGTTTTCCAGGGCACAGGGCTGGTGGTTGTCCGTGAGCACAGGCTGCAGCAACACAAGTGTCTGTCCAGAGGTGAGATACAAGGGGCCTGTCTGGGAGTTTAAAAGCAGTGAGTGTGACAAAGACCACGTTGAGCCCAGAGCAGGGAGCTGAGCAGATGGGGACCAGCGGGTTTGGTGCTGCAGCATTGTGCTGCTGTCCTGGCTGGGCTGCTTCAGAGAGGCATCAAAGGTGAAGCATCCTGCAGGCTCTGGGTCCTCTCCTCACCTGGAGAACACCCTGAATTCACATTCATGTGTTAGAGCAGACTGAATCCTCCCCAAGAGCATGGGCTGGGGATGCCTTTCCCATCTCCTTTCCAACAGGGAACAGTGAAGGGCTGGCCTGGAGCACCTGAGGAGGAAGGGGAAGATGAAGGCAGGAGGTCAGCCCTGCACAGATCCCAAGCCCTCCCATGGGCACATGCAGCCAGGACATGGGGTCTGCCCTGTCTGCCCAAACAGGGGGGCACATCCGTGCTCCCTGCAACCCAATGGGATTTGCTGGGAGAGGGAAACCCCAGCTGCGTGCTGCCTCTCGGTGCTGATGGGCAAAGGCAGGTTTATCCCATGGGATTGCAGGGAGCTGCAGAAATAGCTGTGATTTCTCACTAAGCACCGGCCATCATGCTGGAGCAGAGGACAGGCTGAGGCACCAGTGCTGTCTAACGACGTCCCATGTGCTGCCTTTGGTGCGTCCAGGACCAGACCTGGGCACCCTCAGCTCAGAGGCATCCCCTGCTGAAGCACAGGGTGTGGGGGAGCTCGGGGGTCCAGCACCCAGCAGCACTGCAGCTCCTCTTGGAGGTTCTGTGGAAGGAAACTCTTCTGCATGCTTCAATAGGGTTGTTTTTACCAACGAGCTCCTCTCCTTGCTCAGGCACCGCTTTACTCCTGGCACTGAGTCAATTCATCCTGAAAGCACGTCCTTCGCCTGGTTATCGGGCTGAGCCTACCTCGCTCCTCAGCCCTGCTGTTTGCATCAGCCAGTGCAAAGTGGGGCAGCCCTGCTGCAGTGAGCAGGGCAGGTTAATTTGGCCGACTGAAATGGGAGCGTGCTGGTTTTCCCTGCAAGGAACCCGGACTTCTCCCTGCTGGGAGCCCCTCATGGGCCGGAGGTGTGGGATCCTGCTGGGACTCGCTGCTCCATTGCATCCTCCCCTGCCACAGGGCTGTGGTCCCATAGGAGCCTGCTCACAGCTGAGTGAAGGATTTATTGGCATCATCTCACTCTTTTCTAGTTGCTGTTTAATCACAAAGTGACTGTGAATTGTACCAACGTGTTGCTTATTTTAAATTGCCACCAAATGCTTTGTGTGAGCATATGCCAGCCACAGGATGGGTTGTGATCTGTTTGCTCCTACTCATCAGCTCTTATTTTGAGTTCTGCCTTTTGATGGGGGGAATAGAGATGTCCTGGTCACAGGAGATTGAGGATTTGAAGCCTCCCCTTCCTTCTCCTCTGGCTTCATCCAGACTTTTGGGCTCCTTTAGTGACATTGCCTGGGGAAGGGGACTGATGCCAGCTCCAGCCTCTCCAGCCACCCTCATCGCATCCAACGCAGCCCCTTAGAGCAAGATCCTGCATGTCCTGCGCCACTGAGTTTGTCCCAGTTAGTGCTCCCCGGGAGATGAGGTGATGCTCCCTCCCCGGGCACTTTGAGGTGATGCTCACGTCCCTCCTGCAGCACAAGTGTCGGGGTTGGTGCTAATGTAGGGAGCGCGTTCTCATGCGCCGCGAGGTGAGGAGCACTAATGAACCTCACAAGATGCTATTGTCTAACGCAGCTGCGAGGAGCAGCCCGGTGTGGAGTTGCTATAGAAACACCCGGAGATAGCAGCTCCTCCAGAAGCCCCAAAATGTGCAAATGGGAGGTAGGAGTAGGTGAGGGGGGTGTTGGTGTCTCACTGTCGAGGTGCCAGAAGGGAAAAGTAAAGCATCTTCTGGTGTTACAGAGGTGACACCCTGGCTGAGGTGGGAGCGGTGTAGATGTACCCTTCTCCCAGGACCCCACTTTGCATCCCCTGATGGTCCAGGGGTCCTTTCGGGGGGCACAAAGGCCACTTGGCTGCTGGCACAGCAGCTCCTACTGGGCAGGGGGTTGACCTGAAGCAGAGAAAGTTCTCAGTGGTGTCCCCTTGTCT